AATAGTGTCGTTTGGGTGTGTCGGTGTATGTGGTCTGTTTGTTTTGTTTGGGGCGAGTGTCGTTTTGGCTTTCGTGTCCATCTGGCTTATGCATTTTTTTTGTGGTTTTAGTTTTTGTGTGCGTGCGGTGTATTGGCTGTTATTGTTGTCGATATTACTAGTTTTTAATAGATCAGTCCCATAACTGGTATGCATTGCGTCCGTAGGGTTGGGGTGTTGGGCCATGTCCTTTAGCTAATGTCTTATATTTGTTTTAAATTTGTTGCTCCTTCTACACTTTTTTCGTGAAAAAGTTGAGCTAGAGGGGCGTTCAGGCTATGTGGATTTTATGTATTATTTTACTAATGTATATTATGCAAGTTCTATATGGTTTATTATCCCGTATTTCATTATCTAAATAATTTCTTAATATAATTTTTATTATTATCATTATTATATATAGGGTAACCGGCGTTCAGGACGGGCCGATCGCCCGAATCCGAACGCCCTAACGTATGGGAGCCCTTGGGGATGCGTTCCGCCAATACAAAACAAAAGTCATCAAACAAATCTGAAAAAAAGATATGTTATGGAGAAAAATAAATTAAACAAGATTTGCCTGAGCATTACATCCGAATTCCTTACCAAATTTGAAATAAAAATGACACACGGAGAACAAATACTAATAATAAAAATAAATAAAAATAAATAAAAATAAAAAGAGAATCAAATTTTGTGAGTGCGCGAGCATGTTTTCGACACCGCCATCTGTGGCGATTTTTCAATTTTTTTTGGCATAGCTAAATGCCCTGAAAATTTACAGATGTGTATTTCACATAACACAAAACCCACTAAAAAAGTTTCAAAAAATAATAAAATTGTTTATACCCCGAACTAAAGTGAAAACAAAAAGTAAAAAGTGAAACAATACGTGGACGAGCAGGTTTTGACACCACCAGCTTTGGCGATTTTTAATTCTTATTTGGCTTAGCCAAATGACTTGAAAAGTTACAGGCATGTACCTGACGTCATAAAGAACTCAAAAAAACAAAATCAGAAAAAAATAATTATTTTTAGGCCCCGAAATAATTTTTGGCGGGGCCCGAATGCCGCCAGGTTCGGACCCCGTACGGGACTCCGAACGCCCGGGCCTTAGCGCCGGCGGAAGCGTTCCAATTGGACCTTTACGGTACAATCAATCACCCTTCTCGACGTGGCGGTGCCCCGTAAACCCCTTTCGCGGTCGTTGACATTTCCTGAAAAGATCTCCCCGCTACGCCCCAAAGTGCAACTGGGTATAGCACAGCCAGGAGGCTGCGAATCACATCTGGATTCAAACTCAGGTTTCCCGGACGGACGATCTATAAGGCTATTTCCATGCATTCTTCCAAAACTAAAAAGCTGCGGTGGTTGTGCAGTCTGGACTGTTCCCTTCTCACCAGATTGGTTGCCCAGTGCCCACCACTTGCCTGCTTTAGTCAGTCTACTCCCTGAATCTCCCTGAGTCGGGGACCCCCGCACCAGTCGCCAGACGTCAAGATTTCGACAAACGTCAACATTTCAAATGTATCTGGATGTATCTGGACCTCTAGCGGTCTCCAGCGGTCACAATACAGTGAACATGTTGGCGTTTGGCGAGCGGTGCGGCGAGGGTGCCTCTGTCGAGGCCACCGATATAGTCTGCTGCTGACTTATCACCTCGATGCCTCCCTGCCTGCCCTGCTGCTGCCCTACCATTCGGGTGCCTGCCTACCAGTGCCATGCCCTCCTTGAGGCTGCAGTGCCATGCCCTCCTTGAGGCTGCCGGCCTTATCGCTGCCCGCTGACCCGTCTGCTTCGCTGCTTGCCTGCCTTCCTGCCTTGCCACCCATCTAGCCGCCTGGCTGACTTGCTACTGTCTACGTCGTTGCTGTGTAACCTTTGCTGCCCACACTCCACCCGTCTTTCTTGCTGCGGCCTGCCTGCTGTGTAACCTTCCAGAGAGTTGCAATACCGAACGCCATCAACAAAATGTAAGTTCCCTTTTTGGTTGTTATTTTATTATTTCTTTTCAAAGGTGACTTTTTTTGGTTACTATTGTCGAGGACTTTATCTACTAAGCCCTGGACGTTATCATGGTCAGATTCGTCCGCGTCGCCGAAATTGCCGTGAGATACATTTAGGAAAGTCGAAAAAAAAAAACAGGGAAGTACTAGTGTGAGTATGCTCTGACTCAAGGACTCACAAAGAGGACAATCATCCTCTTATAGTTCAGATAAGGTCGAATTACAGGAATATCAGCCCGTAAAGGCCCCATATATTTATCGCCATGAAGCTTCTCAAAAAGGCTCAATCTGTGACGAAACTTGGTCTGCAACAAAAGTTGACGAAAGGGGTACGTTTGTTACGAACAGGTATGTTGTAGTTTGCCCTTCGTTTTTCCCCCCGAGGCTGTTGTATTCCTGCATTCAACCGATCGTGTTTTACCCAATAATTGCCGAAAGCATTTGATGTGGGAAACAGTTCTTGTCATGGTCCTCCAGTAGGACTCGGTGCTTTTTCGTGTGGAGGCGAGGTGCTGAAGTTTACAGACATCTCAAGACACACACACACACACACACACACAAGCATCACGCACACACACACATACAGAGATAGATAGATAGATAGAGAGAGAGAGAGAGAGAGAGAGAGAGAGAGAGAGAGAGAGAGAGAGAGAGA